AATCGAAACAATGACAATGTCAATGATAACAATATTCATCACAGTACACTAGCAGAATCTAAATTATAAGTACTACGTAAAGAGTACGAATTAAATGCATTTAAACACGAAAAAACATCTAATATTATCGTGTCATATCACAATTGATTCATAACATCAAATATACGAATCTTGATTCCAAATACCTCTTATCATATCACATCGAAGTGGGCAATTCCACTAATGAACTCAGACCTACAACTAGAGCAGTCCTCTAGGATGGGAAGAGAGACACTCGTATGCACAACATAATATTCCTAATCGAGATAAATTCCCTCAGTTTGCGGTAATTCTCCTTAACAGGAACATGAGACTCACTCACCAAAAGAAAATGCCTGAGCGTAACATCCACCTTATCCCCTAGTTACCGCCCTTACCCGATCTATTCCCGGAGTTTGACGTTCTTTTCAGTTGCACCAGGTGAGCAGATCGATAACGTTCCCATGTTACCAATTCTTTGCCTTCGTGAAAACCACCTATCTGGTTGAAGCATAGAACGTTTATTTCTATCTTATAGAGGCCATCACTAGTTACAGGTCTGATTGCATTCTCTAATTATTTTCAGTACGAATTTGCAGACTAAAACGAAAAACCATTGAAAATTGAGCAAAAAAAAAACGAAACTAAACGGATAATCAAGCGAATCTACGATCGCTGCCCCGGTCATACTGAGTTGATCCATTAGCGATTAATTCGCTCGCTTCATTGTGTTGGTAGATAGTGCGATGGGAATTCAGAGGAAATCATCGGAAGGGTGGGTGAATGTTGATTGAGACGTACTGGGAAAAGTAGACCGGCAATATCGATCTCAAACGTTCCCTCATTGATGAACTCTGACTGGATATTTTCGTGTTCAATATAACCGATGCAAACCTGAAAAACAAACTTTCGTTTTGGAATTTCAGTACGTTCCATTGAAAACTCATCGCTATACGATAACATCTCTCTACAGATTGGATGTTCAACACTAACTCATATCATTACTATCATTAATTCACTGCACTATACTATCAACAATATAGTATCCATCCCACAAATTGATCCTAAACATCTCTTCAATAGAATCTAAATTTATGAGAAAACGGTAGAATACAACGCAATAAGATGCGTCAACGTACACAG